GTTTCAGTGAACGGAGATCATTCCACTGCACTCCAGTCTGGGTGACAGAGTGAGACTATGTCTCAAAAAAAAAGAAATGGGATTGCTGGATCTGGTGGTACTTCTCTTTCTCATTCTTTGCACAGTCAGCATACTGTTTTGCCACAGCTGCTGTACCATTTTACGTTCCCACCAGCAATGCACAAACGTTCCTAATTTCTCCACATCCTTGCCGATACTATTTGTTTTCCTTTTTCTGTTTGTGTTTGGTTTGTTTGATAATAGCCATCTAAGGGATGGGGCTTAGAAGTAATTGAACTCAAAGTCGTTGCACCTTTTTACTTGCATGCCTCAGTCATCACGGACGGGATATATAGAACCCACCTGTGACCGCGACATCCCGATTCTTCCACCTCCTGCTCACCCACCCAGCTGGCCCCGCCCCACTGCAGCCACGACTCCCTCCCTTCTCTCCCACCTGCTCCCCATTCTGTGATGATGCTGAAATCCAGACTGCAGCAGACCCAGGAGGTGGCAGAACTCCTGGAGGCCCGTGGAGAAGGAAGCGGCCCGCCATCGGCCAGGTGGCACCCCAGGTAGGTTGTTCATCTTTTCACCGTCTCACTCCCGCTGCCTGAGCCTTCCTGGTAACGTCCTCCTCCCTTTAGTTGCTGCCAGGCTCACCTGCAGGCCGCACAAGTGCAAAGGCTTCCTCAGTCCAAGCTGGAGGAATGTTCCAGGTTCCTAGACCTCAGGTTCTCAGTTCGCAGGCCCACCCTGCTGACCCCCTCCTCACTCCAACTTAGAATCTTCTCACCTTTCCCTTGGGAAGCTCCCAAGTGTAGTAGGGGTGCCTGTTTAAAAAACTCAGATTGACTCTGGCCTCTGGCCCTGCCTTTTTTTTTTTTTTTTTTTTTTTAGATGGAGTTTCACTCTGTTGTCCAGGCTGGAGTGCAGTGGTGTAACCTCAGCTCACTGCAACCTCCACCTACTAGGTTCAAATGATTCTCCTGCCTCAGCCTTCTGAGTCACTGGGATTACAGGTGTGTGCCACCATGCACAGCTAATTTTTGTATTTTTAGTAGAGACCGGGTTTCGTCAGGTTGGCCATGCCGATCTCAAACTTCTGACCTCAAGTGATCCACCCAACTTGGCCTCCCAGAGCGCTGGGATTACAGATGAACCACAGTGCCTGGCCATACCTCAGAATCCCAGACAGGGATCTGGAGAGCTAGATCTTTCTCTTTTTTTGCCTTTTTTTTTTTTTTTTTTTTTTTTTTTGAGATGGGGTCTCATTGTGTTGCCCGGGCTGGAGCGCAGTGGCACTATCACAGCTCACTATAGCCTCAACCTCCCAGGCTCGAGTTATCCTCCCACCTCAGCCTCCCCAGTAGCTGAAACTGTCAGGTACACTCCACCATGACTACCTAATTTGCTTTCTTTTTCTTTTTTTTTTTTTTTTAAAGATGGAGTCTCATTATGTTGCCCAGGTTGGAGTGCAGTGATGCGATTTTGGCTCACTGCAACCTCTGCCTTCTGGGTTCAAGCGTTTCTCCTGCCTCAGCCTCCTGAGTACCTGGGACTACAGACATATGCCAACACACCTGGCTAATTTTTTGTATTTTTAGCAGAGACAGGTTTCACCACGTTGGCCAGGCTGGTCTCAATCTTCTGACTTTGTGATCCGCCTGCCTCAGCCTCCCAAAGTGCTGGAATTACAGGCATGAGCCACCGCACCTGGCCCTCATTTTCTAGTTTATTATTTGTAGAGATGGGGGTCTCACTGTGTCTCCCAGGGTGGTCTCCAACTCCTGGGCTCAAGCTAACCTTCTGCCTTGGCCTCCCAAAGTGCTGGGATTATAGGAAATGAGCCACTGCACCTGGCCAAGATGGGATCTTGCTATGTTGCCCAGGCTGAGATCCAGATGTTAAAAGTCCCCAGGAGATGCTGATAACCAGCAAGTTTGATTACATTTCTGTAATTACCAGAGATGCTAGTCAATAATGGAAGGTGGTAAGTACCACACTGGAGAAAACAAGATGCTTCCACCTGTTGGGGGCACTTATCCCACAGGAGAAAGCCCGGGCAGGCTTGGGGGTCAGAGGATGTGGGTCCTAGAGATGAGCCTGGTTGTCCTCCCTTTCATGGGAGTGTTTGCTTCTGTCCTGTGGCAACCTGTGAGTGGCTGTGGAAGATGCTGGACAGGTTCTTATGGACTGGGCATCCTTGGGGATGGCCCAGCCTGGCTCTTCGGCTGCTGTTGGATTTCTCCACATTTCAGCTGCCAGCTAGATCTCTGTCCTGCTTCCCCTGGACTCTTGAGGGTTTTGATTTTGGAGATCAGAGGTCCAGCATCTATACCCATAGGAAAAACAGTCAACACAACTGGCATCCTCCAAAGGAGGCGATGCTCAGCTCCACCACTTCGTCTCCTACTTTTGATCGGATCTTCTTATTACTTTCCCTGAACTTACACTGAATGCCCTTTAGGAGCCTACGCTAGGCCATGACAGCACCATGGAGGGGCGGGAGACCTGTAGACCTGGGGTTAATTCCCGGTCACATAGCCTCGGAGAGTTTTTGCTTCTCTCTAAACCAGCAAACAGAGGGTGTCAGCTGAGCCCTCTGAGACGTGATAAAAGACCGTGGGGGAAGCACAGTGTCATTTGAATCCCATCTCTACCCCTTATTAATCATGCCTAAGCTACCTAACCTCTCAGAGCCTCAGTTTCCTCCTCTGTAAGATGGGGATGTATTTATTGTCTATGGCCGTTGTAACAATCCCCACAAACTTAGTGGCTTAAAACAACATGAATTTATCCTTCTACAGGTCTGGAGGTCAAAAGCCCAACAGGGGCCTCCCTGGGCTAAAATGAGTGTCAGCAGAGCTGCGGCTCTTCTGGAGGCTCTAGCGGAGAGAATCTCTTCTCTTGCCTTTTCCAGCTTCTAGAGGCCCCATTCCATATTCATAGCATCTTTAAACCTGACACTGACTCTCCTGCCTCCCTCCTTTACCTGTAGGACTCTTATGACTCCCTTAGGCCTACCTTGATAATCTGGGGAGATCTTCTGCCTTTTTTGGGGGGGAGACAGTGTCTTGCACTGTCACCCAGCCTGGAGTGTAGTGGTACAATCATAGTTCACTGTAGCCTCTATCTTCTGGACTCAAGTGATCCTCCTGCCTCAGCTTCCTGAGCAGCTGAGACTACAGGCACGCACCACCATGCTTGGCAAATGGTTTTTGTAGAGATGGAGTCTATGTTGCCTAGGCTGGTCTCAAACTCCTGGGCTCAAGCAGTCCACCTGCCTCAGCCTCCCAAAGTGATGGAATTACAGGTGTGAGCTACACCCGGCAATTCCCCCTATTTTAAGGCAGCTGATTAGTAACCATAATTCCATCTGCATCTTTTATTCCCACTTGCCTGGTAACATAACGTATTCGTAGGTTCCAGGGATTAGGACCCAGGAGGAAAATAAAATAGATTGTGTCCTTGTATTATACACTGCAGGGAATAAACCCCCTATACATGCTAGTGAATGCAGTTACTATTTTTGTTGTTAGAATATGGGAGATTTCTTATAGAAGGGGAAGAAAACTTTAGAAACATGATCTCTGAGCCCGAGTTTCCTCATCTGGGAAATGGGAACATCCCACTGGTGGTGCGGGCTGTGGTGGGTTCCGGGAGACGCTGCCTGACCAGTGCTGAAGTCCGTGCAGCCTGCGGCAGGTGCTAACCTGAGAGCAGTTTGTTTTTTTCTACCACGAGCTGCTCGGCCCCAGAAGAAGCCTCATTCCCCCAGTGTCTCCTGCATGCTTTCTTCTGGTGACATTGTGGCCCCTGCACAGGTGGCACTCTGGCTGTGACCAGAGCTCTGCCTAGAGCTTGTAACCTTGGCGTTTTTGCCTGGACTCTATATGCCTGGCTCCTGCTTGCCCATGGTGAGGAACAGAAGTCAGACTCAATCGTGGGCTTCCAGCCCTTTCCTTGTGGTGGTGCAGTGGCTCGGGCTCCACTCTCCCAGCTGAGCACCCCAGGAGATGGAGGGTGCCCCCTAGCTCCTGCACAGTCCCTGGGGGATGCTCACTGGCTGTGAACACCACGGCCTAGGTCCCTCACTCCCCACTTCAGCCAATCTCAGGGAATGGCTGCAGGCTCTGATGTTCTTTTTGGCTGGGCTGGGTTCACAGGGTCTTTCAGAAGCCAAGCCAAGGAGAAGCTGGTACAAGTGCTGGGCAGAGAAAGCCAGGGCCGCTGCACCCTCTCCCTACCCCGTGCCTCCAGCAAGTACTTCCTGACACCACCCACAGCCCATCCTCCCAGACATGCTTCCTCGCTCATGAAATGTTGCATGTGCATGAATCTGGTCTCCCCTGAGGCTGCAGGCCACTTCCTGGGTGTACTTAAGGGTTAGGCAGACTCCTAATTAATGTGTACTTTGCCTGTTATCTTGGGCATCAAGTCACCTGCTTTATTCCCTGAGCCTCAGTTTCTTCATCTGTGAAATGGGTGTAATATCAAATCAGACATGCTTCCTAGGGCTGTTGTGAGGACAGAATGAGCTAATGGACAGCAGTGACTAGCACAGGCCCTGGCATATAGCAGGTGCTGGAAGGGATGCGTCTCTTTCCATCTTCTCTTTTCTGACACAAGGTATACACCTGAGCTGTGCTGCTGAGCTCCGGGACACACACTCAGCCCACCCTACCTCTCTAAGCCTCTGCTTTCTGAGTGGTCAATGGCATTCACGATCCCTGCCTGAAATGATGCCTGTCCAGTGCCAGGTTCTGAGGGACAGTAAGTGAAGGCTGTGCTCCTTGTGACCATCAGGACAAACGCCCCCCGCCCCGGCTTGTGGTGCGATGGAAACTTGGTGTCAGAGCACCTGGGGCTGGTGTTGAGTGGTGTCACCTTTCTAGGCCTCAATTTCCCCATCTGTAAATGGGACCTCACCTGTAAGGGTAAGTGGTGTCATTATCCTTGATCTCCCTTTCACCTCCTCAGGAGCCACAGAGCCGCCGCCATTCAGGCTTTATTGACAGAAGAGTAAATCAATTCTACACTTACAGTCTTGCTGCTGCCCGAACGCAGAGTCTTGATGAACAACCATTTCAACATCTCCTCGGGGGCACGTCACACAAGGCAGATGGGCAGTGCGGGTTGGACAGGTAGCACTAGGAGTGTGTCTAAGGGTGGTGGATACTCGGTGGAAAGTTCCAGAACTGGGAAGGACTTAAAGCTCGCCCTTCAGGGTGGTGTTTGATGCCAAAAGCCTCCCAGGCAGCTGGCTGAGCTATTGATTAAACAGCATCCTGGCTCTAGGGTTCGGGAACTCCCAGACAGAGTCTACTTCCATCTTGTGGAAAGAGGGGATGGTATGTGAGGTTGCAGCTTCCCCAGTGTTCTGTCTCAACTTTGCTGGGAGAGCATTTTTCACCTTCTCTTTGCCCAGCTCTCTCACCTGTCTCCCCTCTAACCCAGCTATCTGCAGAACTTGCCAGTTGGAAACTCAGTAATTAGCAACAAGAGAAAAAGAAACATAAAAACAGCTGCAGGGCAGAGAGGCGAGGAACCAATAAACATCATGCATTGCGGTGCTGTCCGCCTCCACTCACCACATGGTTCGAGCTTTCCATGGTTCAGTTTGCTTTCATTCCTTCAGGAGTGCTTTAAATCCCAGTACAAAAGCACCAGCCCTCCTGTTCCTCCCTCTGACGTCGCATTTTGCCCTTTGAAAGCCACCCAAGCCCCCAAACGATGGCACCGCCCCTCAGGTACATGCAGGAAGAGATGTGAATCATGAACAGTTAGAAAAATATGTAGTCTCTAGTATGGAAAAATAGGATGTGTCACAGTATCAACAGTGCTTGCTGGTTCTAAAAAGGAGTCCCAGGCTGCCAAGGGATGACCAGCCAGTTAGAGATGTCATTCGCTGGCCTGTAGGAGTTAGGATGGCTGGGAGGGAGGGAGGGACAGGAATCTCATTCCAGGGGCCTCGGGTTGGGTTTGCAGATGGGGGGTGGACAGGCCACAATAAATATAAATAAATTTACACATGGTCATGGTGCCCGGCATGGCCCAGGAATCTGCTCTACTAAAATTCTAACAGACTATTGGAAAGGTGGGGCTGGAGGCCACCTAGGCAGGCTCCCATTTCAGAACTCAGGTTCTCCAGCTCCACTCCCCACCCTGGACTCTGAAGGTTGCGGCTGAGGTTTCATCAATGAATTCATCATTCATTGAAGGATGAATTCAAGGGCTTTCACCCCAAGGTGTTTCCTCAATGCACCAAGGTGTCCTGAAATGGGGTGCAGGTCATGGAGGTCACCCAGCCAGGAACCAGGATGGAGAAGTCTCACTCAACATGGTCAGGCCTTGTGGTCCAGGCCTTGGAGAAGTGGCAAGGGAAGGAGGGATGCTGGGTTGCTTATTTGTCTTCCTCTGTCCTTCTGACTTGGAAGAGCCCCAGAAGCTGCCCCAGAAGCTCCAGTGGGAGGGAGGAGAAGGAGGGGGGCCATGGAGGGGAACTGCTTCCCTGTCCAGCTGGCAACTTACCCCCAGGAGAGGCTACGGGGAACACCCTGTTCCAGTCAGTTCTCTGCCCAAGCCGGGTGCCGGGGTTCCGGGGCAGGTGAGGCCATGAGCTCAAAGCAGGGCTATGGGCTTGTTCCCCTGTGCACCCAGGCACTGGGAGGAGGAGCCGGTGCCTGATGCGGCCGCACTGTCCTGGGTAGAGTATGCTGCGTAGAGACCTGTCACCTGCAAGTCTGGGAAGGACTGGTCGCTGCCACCCGAGGCAGGGGTCAGGCCTGAGGCCCCCAGATCACAGCCAAGTGGGGAGTCTCCGAAGGTGCCCAGTGTGTCCAGGCTGAATCCCTCGTCCTTCATCTCCTCCCACAGGTTCCCTTTCAAAGACAAAAGCATTAGGGTGAGCTGGCTTCACATAAAATGATTGAGTTTGAGTCCCCCATCTTAGTGGAAGACACAGACTATGTGTGGTGTCATGTGTTGTAGAAAAGGGGGACGGGGCCGGGCGTGGTGGCTCACACCTGTAATCCCAGCAGAGGCCAACATGGGTGGGTCACTTGAGGCCAGGAGTTTGATTCGATGCCAGCCTGGCCAACATAACAAAACCCTGTCTCTACTAAAATACAAAAATTAGCCTGGCCTGGCCGGTGCACACCTGTAATCCCAGCTACTTGAGAGGCTGAGGCACAAGAATCACTTGAACCCAGGCGGTGGAGGTTGCAGTGAGCCAAGATTGTGCCACTGCCCTCCAGCCTTGGGTGACAGAGCGAGACTCCATCTCAAAAAAAAAAAAAAAAAACCACAAAAAACAAAACGCATAGAAAAGCCAGAGTCGCAGCCCTGGACCCTCACCTTCCCACTGAGTGTCCTTGGGAAAGTCACTTCCATCTCAGAACCTCAGAATAAGATGGAGATGATCAGCGAACCCGGCTCCTCAGGTTGTGGCAAGGGTTAAACGAGAGGACTTGTGAAAAGCATTTAGTTCTCACCCCCATATCATTACGGTCAAAGCCAGGGGGATGAGACGTTTCCCTTTCTTCAGCACACTGAACTATACAACAGTCCAGGGAGAGGGAGGCCGGAAGGTTCAAATCTACCTGTTTCACAGCTGCAACTGACTTGCTACCTTGTTCATTTCCCTCACTAGAGACAGAACTCCTTGGGGCAGAGGCTATCTCCACCCTTGGCTGGAACATGGGAGTGGCACCCGTGCTAGTGAATGGATGAAGTATGAGCCTTGGCTGAAACCTCAAATTCCCTTGTTCATTCATCACATCCCATTTATTGGGAAGGAGCATGCGGTCTGCAGTGGGTCAGTGTGACCTGGCATGGGGTTGGCACATGTGAGTTGAAGCAGTTATTGATTAAAACTTTGGGGTCAGACAGACCGAGGTTTAACGCCAGGCTCTGCCACTTACTAGCTGGGTGAACTTGGGTGAGTGACTTCACTTCTCTCTGCCTCAGTTTCCTCATCAGCAGAACAGGGATGTGGAATGGTGGTGACCTCAGGTGAAGTCTATGGAATGCTTTGGCCTGGTGTCTGGTACACAGCAAGCGCTCATTCCCTGCTGGCTGTCAGTGGCTAGAACTTGTTGAACAACCCTAGTCCAGCCAATCATCTGAACTCTGAACTGCCCCAACGAGCATGACCTTCGAGTATCTTGTCAGGGCTCAACAATTTTCAGATTTTGGAGCACTTCAGATTTCCGGATCAGGGACGCTCAACTTGCAAAAGTGGTTGATATGGGAACAAGACCGTGGGGCAAATGTAGGCAGTACAGTCCTCTCACTCACTCCCTTTGGCCCCCGGGCCTCTCCCCTCCCCAATTCCATTCCCGTCACCGTTCCTCTGGCCTCACCCTGCAGAGCGAAGTCCATGATGCTGGGGTCAAGGGCATCTACCTCGGTGTTCATGTCGGTGCTGATGTTGATGAAGTCCACAGGAGCCCTTCCCATGGCGGGGTTGGGGAGCGGGCTGGGGCTCAGGTCCGGCAGGGCGTGCAGTGGCGGGGTCTGGGCCGGTGCTGGAGAGTCTGGAGCAAGATGTGCCTGGGGCTGGACCTGGTGGTGCAGGGGAACTGACTGCAGGGACAGGGTCATCAGTGGCTGGGGTGGGAGCTGCGAGACAGCCAGGCAGCCATGCGCCACGGCCACTGTGGTGGCGTGAGTCAGCACGGGAGCCTCTGGTTCCCCCGGTTTGCCTGGGCGCCGGCAGCTTTCAGGTCGGTCAGAGATCAGCTTGTCCAACTCCTCTGCAGGCAAGTGGGAAAGGTCACTCAGAACCCACCCAGCAGATAGCAGGCCCCAGCCCAGGCCTGGGTTCAAAGCCCAGTGTTACCACCTGTGTGACCTTAGCAAGCCCCTCAGACTCTCTGAACCTCTGTCTCCTCACCTGTGAAATGATGTAGGCATCATCTCATCTCACAGCTTATACTGCCACCCATTGTAAATGAAGGTATCTGTTAAATACTTCACAGCCTGGCCCATGCTGGGTGGTAATATTTCATTATTTTAAACATCTCTGCCCGTAGAGCAAAAGCATCACACACTCTGCACAGGGTTGTTGTGGAGATGTAACAAAACCATGAATTGTGCAGAATCTTTGAGGAATAAGAGATGACCTCAAAGGCTGAGCTTGATGGCTTATGCCTGTCATCCCAGTGCTTTGGGAGGCTGAAGCGGGAGGATAGCCAGAGGCCAGGAGTTCAAGATTTACCTGGACAGCATAGTGAGAACCCATGTCTACAAAAACAAATATTAGCTGGGCATGGGTGTGTGTGCCTGTAGTACCAGCTACTTGGGAGGCGGAGGTGGGGGGATCACTTGAGCCCAGGAGGTTGAGGCTGCAGTGAGCCATGATTGCACTTACTATACTCCAGCCTGGGTGACAGAGTAAGACTGTCTAAAACAAAGGCCAGGCATGGTGGCTCACGCCTGTAATCCCAGCACTTTAGAGGCTGAGGCAGGTGGATCATGAGGTCAGGAGTTCAAGACCAGCCTGACCAACATGGTGAAACCCTGTCTCTACTAAAAATACAAAAATTAGCTGAGCGTAGTGGTGTGCACCTGTAATCCCAGCTACTCAGGAGGCTGAGGCAGGAGAATCATTTGAACCTGGGAGGCAGAAGTTGCAGTGAGCCGAGATCACGCCACTGACTCCAGCCTGGTGATAGAGACTCCGTCCCCCCCCCCAAAAAAAAAAAAGGTCATCAGATAATAACAGTAGCCCCTGTCATCAGGACAGTGTCTTACAGGACAGCATTGTAACCCTGACTTCACTTAAATCTCACAGCCCTCCAAGAAGGAGGTAAGGCAGCAATGACAAATCCCATGAAACTGGCACAAAATGTATGTTACCATCCAAGGGGTCCTGGCCACTCCCTGCTGCTGGAGAAACATGAAGTACTGCTGTGTGTTAAAAATCCTTAAGACTCTTGGATGTAAACAAGCAAAGACAAATTATTCTCAAATTATTTTTGGTTGTTGGGCTCTGTCTTGTTGAGTGCAACATGGTTGACAGTAGACTGGTAGGGTCCCAAGAACTATTTGGGTTGTACCCATCTTAGAAATGAGAACACTTAGAATCTAGAAGGCAAAATAACCTGCCCAAGACTTCACTCTGAATACGTGTCAGTACTGGCCCTGGGTCTCAAGCCAGACCCCAGAGCTCTCGGTGGGGTGGGTGCCATGTGATACCCTCAACTGAGGGCCCACTGGCTCCTGCTACAGCCCTTCTCCCTGCCTGGAGTTGCTCATCCCCGGCCACTCACAGCCCTGCTCCCACCCAGCATGGTCATACCCAGCACACTTGGCCATACTCCTGAGGCTGGGGCAGAATTAGCCTCCCATGTCACAGTCCCCATGCGTATGTCCCTTGGACAGCACCCTCCTCAAATCCATTAATTTCTTTTAAAAAGTAGATGCAATCTTTTTTCTAATTAGAATCAGGATAGAAGTTTTGGAAAATACAGAAAGATGTGAAAAATATAAAAGTTATCAATGGTCCCTCCATTCACAGTGAAGATTTTGGTGTATTTCTTCCCAAACATACCAGCACATTCATTTTTTCTTTTTCTTTCTTCTTTTCTTTCTCTCTCTCTCTCTCTCTCTCTCTCTCATAGATACATACATTTTGTGTGTGGGGGGGAATGAATATGGATATATACGCATTTTAAAATGTGATCTTGCTGTGGATGTTGATTTATAACCTGCCCCTTTTCACTTACTAAGAACTTTTTTTTTTGAGACAGAGTCTCACTCTGTGGCCCAGGCTGGAGTGCAGTGGTGCGATCATGGCTCACTGCAACCTCTGCCTCTCAGATTCAAGTGATTCCCCTGTCTCAGCCCCCTGAGTAGCTAGGATTATAGGCCCCCCACCACCATGCCCAGCTAATTTTTGGTAGATAGGGTTTCACCATCTTGGCATTGCTGGTCTTGAACTCCTGACCTCAAGTGATCCACCCACCTTGGCCTCCCAAAGTGTTGGGATTACAGATGGGAGCCACTTAGCCTGGCCTAACATCTCTTTATAATCCAAAAATATTTAAAAATATTTCTCATCTCTACTACTTGCATGATATGCCATTCTATTTATTCAACCAACTTCCTTCTGTGAGATGTCTGGACTGCCTTCTGTGTTTCACTCTTGGAAGTTTGTGATGGAAACCGCTCACAAACCTTTTGCTCAAATCTTTGCTCTTCCCAGTACACACTGTCATAAGTAGAATAATTGGACCAATCCATGGGTACCATTTGCAGGTGATGATATATTAGCTTTCCCTCAAAAAGTTTACCGGCTTAACTCCTGTCCACGGTATACGAAGCTGTCTGTTTTTCCACATCCTAGCCCACACTGAGTGTTGTTACTATTTTAAACATCTAAGTCAATGTGGTAGAAAAGCAATGTTTATCCCATGGTTGTGTAGTTTGGCATTTCTGGGCAAGAAACTATGGATGATGAGTGAGATCCAATAGCTTTTCCTGTTTCTTTCCAGGCCCCTCAATTATTCCTCCACTGGAGAGGGTTGGGGAGGGGGAGGCCTATTCCATAGGAGGGAGGGAAGTTCGCCAGGTACCTGTCTTCCCATCATGGTAGCTGAGCTATGTTGCCGATTGGATAGGGCATAGGCAGAGCTGGGGCTGGGCTGGAAGGAGGGGCGCATGGTGTGTGTGCGCTCACAGCTATGTGTGTGTGCGTCCACATGCTGGGGGCTGTCTGGGCCTCACCGGAGTTGGCCATGCTCTGATGGACAGTGGCCAGGTCCTTCCTCTCCCGCTTGTGTGTGTGAGTGCGTGTGCACATGCTGCAGGCTGTCTGGGCCTCACTGGGGTTGGCCATGCTCCAGTGGATGGGGGCCAGGTCCTTCCTCTTCCACTTATGTGTATGTGTGTGTACACGCACGTGTGTGCATTTGTGTATTTGTGTGTGTGCACATGCTGCGGGCTGTCTGGGCCTCACCAGGGTTGGCCATGCCCTGGTGGATTGTGGCCAGGCCCTTCCTCTTGCATGTGTGTGTGTGTGTGTGTGTGTGTGTGTGTGTGTGTGTGTATTTGTGTGCTGCAGGCTGTCAGGCCTCACTGGTGTTGGCCATGCTCTGGTGGATGATGGCCAGGCCCTTCCTCTTCTGTGTGTGTGTGTGTGTGTGCGCGCATGCGCGTGCGTGCGCCTGCGTGCGTGCTGCGGACTTTCAGGCCTCACTGGGGTTGGCCATCCTCCAGTGGATGGTGGCCAGGTCCTTCCTCTTCTGTGTGTGTGTGGGTGTGCACCCGTGTATATGTGCATGCGTGCATGCGCACACTGCAGGCCTCACCAGGGTTGGCCATGCCATGGTGGATGGTGGCCAGGTCCTTCCTCTTCCGTGTGTGTGTGTGTCTGTGTGTGCATGTGCACACGTGTGTGCACCCGTATATGTGTACGTGTGTGTATGTGCCACGGGCCTCACCGGGGTTGGCCACACTGTGGTGGATGGCGGCCAGGTCCTTCCTTGTCTGTGTGTATGTGCGCATGCATGTGTGCGTGTGCATGTGTGTGTCCGTGCCGCAGGCCTCACCGGGGTTGGCCATGCTGCTGTGGATGGTGGCCACGTCCTTCCTTGTCTGTGTGTATGTGCGCATGCATGTGTGCGTGTGCATGTGTGTGTCCGTGCCGCAGGCCTCACCGGGGTTGGCCATGCTGCGGTGGATGGCGGCCAGGTCCTTCCTCTTCCACTTGTGCATCTCCTCCTCCATCTTGTCAATGCGGGACAGGTTCAGAGCCCACAGGCAGCCCTTGCGGGAGGAGCCACTCATCTTGTTCTCTACCTTCTCGAAGCACTTGTTCAAAGACAGGTTGTGTCGCACAGAGTTCTTCCAGCCGTCGGGAGCTGTCTATGAAGAGACATGGGCACTCAGCAGACCCTTTCAGAGGCCTCCCTATAAGCCCTTTCCGCTACCCCGGGGATCTCCTCCTCGGGCCTCTAGAGGCAGAACACAACAGTGGCAGGGGTAACTTGACAGTGCCTGACACTCAGCCTCAAGTTGGAGAGACGAGAGAGTGCTGGGGATTGAGGCCAACTGGTGTGGCCACGCCCGATGAAAGAGGAGCTACAATTCAGCCCCAGCCAACTGTTCATGCAGGAGACTGCAGCCCGGACTGCTGGGTCTTCTCTCTACACTCTCTCCCACTCAGGAAGTAAGCAGGGAAGAATGATGCCAATAAATGGATAACTGGTCAAGTGTATTCAATGCAAATATACTTTTTTTTTTGAGACAGGGTCTTGTTCCATCACCCAGGCTGGAGTACAGTGGTATGATCATGGCTCGCTGCAAACTCAGCCTCCAGGATCAAACCATCTTCCCACCTCAGCTCCCCAAGTAGCTGGGACTGCAGGCGTGCACCACCAGGAAATTATTCTTAAATGCCAGGTAACCAGATATCGCAATGCATCTCACACCATGTGTGGGTATGCGCGCGCGCGCGCGCACACACACACACACACACACACACACACACACACACACACACTGTGCTACCGTATTTCTGCTAAGGACATTTTCCAGGCCAGAAACCCTACAGCTTGGGGTACCCTCTAACTTCCTGCTCCACTTTTCACTGTGATGATAACAAGTATAACATTACTAAGTGGCCAACCCTATGTGGGAAGCTGCCAGGTCCTTTATATGCAGGCTCCTCACTGACCTTGCCAGCTTGGGATGATTCTCCACCTGACAGATGAGGATACTGAGGCTCAGAGGGGAAGGCTCTTGCCAGTTCTGTTGTTTTGCGTCATTATGTTGTACTGAGTCTGTGCTGAGTAACTAGTCTGGTGCCTCTACCATTTTCCCTTTGGGATGCCTAGTGAACTCCTATTCATCTGTCAGAGCCCAGTTCAAATGCCCCTGTCTCTGACTTTCTTCTATGTGAGTATACAGGCACATGTCCTAACTACCAGATATACAGACATAACTGGGAACCCAAGAGGGTGGTCCACTTTGGCCCAGGGCCAGCCCTGGATTCTGGCAACACCAGGAAGAGTCCAGGGCAGCTCCAACACCCCTAACCTGGCTTGGTACCTCTCACCTTGAAGTAGGGGAAGTGCTCCTTCATGAAGCTGTAGATCTCGCTCACAGGCAGGCTGCCTGTCTTGCTGTTCTTCAGAGCCATGGCGATCAGACAGCTGGGGGCAGGAGGTGGGGGGGCAGGGCAGGCCAGGAGTGAAAGGGTCTCAGGCTGACAGCCCAGTGCCTCCTCTGCCAGAAAGCCTGCCCTTCTTGACCTTACACACTCACACACAGTGAGCTCTTGATACCTTTTCATGGCCCAATGTCTTTCCCACCCTTTGCCGTTTCTCCTTGACCCTGGGCTCAACCACTGGTACTGACTTGAGAAATCTTACCCTCTCCCCTCTTTATCCCATCCCCATAATTTTAATGGATATGAGCCTTTAGACTTTACCTAGTTTGTTTCCTCTTCCCCAAATTCCCATGAGGTATAATAGTACTGTTATTTTGATGACTTCTTACATTTGGGGAAATCGAGTCTCAGAGAAGTCATGCCACTTCCCCAAGACCACACAGTTGTGAATGATGAGGTGAAGTGGGGCACTGGACTCAGGTCTGCAGTGCCAGGAGACTGACTGACCCTATGATGGTCCTTCCTGAGAACAATTCCCACCTGGGGGTTCCCCACTCCCCAAATCTCCCCCTTGGACATCTGGGCTGCCACACTTAGCTGTCTAAGACGCTCTGAGGGCAGCCTCATCCCTCTTCTCCCGAAGCCACCCTCGGCCCTGACCCAGCCCACCCTGGACCTCACCTGTACGAGTAGATGGGCTTGGGGTAGTGTTTGGGGTGCAGTTCCTGAGACGAATGCACAGTCATGTGGGGCTGGGGGTATGGGGGCCGCACCCCAAATGGGGGGCCATAGAGGCCCACAGGAGGGCACTTCCCACAGGCAGGGGCAGGAAGAAAGTGGCAGAGAGAGAGAGAAGGTGAGAAAGAATATACGTCACAGTAACCCCGTCCCCACCGCAGTTTCAAAACGCCTTGTGTGGGGATTCACAACCACGCAGGAAACAATCTTGTCTCCACACAGGGCAGAGTTTTCGGGAATGGAATGAATGACCCTGTGTCATGAGCACAGTGGGGACTGTTATCCCCATGTTCTGGGTGAGTCAACTGAGACTCAGAGAGGTCCCTGGCTAGCCCGAGGCAGGGTTTCTGCTGCTGAGTCCAGGGCTCCCCTGAGCCTCTGGTACCTGCTGGGTGCCCGGGGGGAGCGGGAACTGTGGTTGGGTGGCAGGCGAGTACAGAGGTGGCGGGTCCTGCAGGCCAGATGAGGGCTGGGTCCCCACGGGGAACTGGCTCATCTGCTGGGCAGGAAGAGGAGGAGGCAGAGGGTCAGGGTGGACACCCAGTCTGGCAGGCACTGCCCACTCTCCACAGTCCATGCGCTGGCACTTACACTGTCTCCATGGCTGGTTATGGGGCCCAGACCTGGCATGCCTCGAGGGCCCATGCCTGCTGGGCCATGGAGAAGGGGACTTGGAGTGGCTCCCACATGAAGGTCGGCTGCCCCAGCCAAGGCACCTGCAGAAGAGAAGCACAGAGATGCTGCTGGGCCAGAGGAATGGTGGCTGCCACCAGGAATGGCCCAGTGCCCAGGTGTCTCCAGAGAACAGAGCCAGACCCTTTCCTCAGACCAGGCAGGTACTAGGTGCTTGGCAAATCACTTCCCCGGTGCATAGTGGTGAAAAGTGGGTTTCCTTTTTCACCACTATACAGCTGTGTAACCTTAGGTCAGCCTCAGTTTTCCCATTTGTCCTTGGACTACTGATATCCCCTATCTATAAATTTGCTGTGAGGGTTAAATGAGATAATGTCTATCAAGTGCTTAGCACATTGCAGGGCACATGATAAAATCTCAATAAACATGAGGCAATAATAAATGATAATCATGATGATGTAATACCTTGGTTCTTTTCTTTCATGAAGCTAAAATGCCAATTCGTTGTTCTTTTCCTCAAAAACGTGCCATGGCTCCCTAGTGCCTCTAGGTTTCAGTCCAGAATGCCTTTGTGCCTCCTCTCCCCATAGCCAAGCCCTGCTCCTCCACCCTGGATGAGAATAGCAGACACACTTCCCCCACCTCCTGCTGGGCTTACGACAGACATTGCTAATCCATCACCGAGTCTTACTGCACCAGCCTGATTTTAGGCAACCACCTCCAATCAAGTGAAGTTGATATGCAGAGGTCTTGCCCTAGGGCTGCCTCTTCCAGGAAGCCCTCTGGGTCCTTCAGCTCTCCTAAGTTCTGGCTGCCACTGTCCCTAGATCTGTTTGTCTTGTCCTTCTCTCTCTGACCAGACAATCAGCTCCCTACAAACTGGGACCGCATCTTATACCACTCATTGCTCCAAATGCCTGGCACAGCAACAGGCCCAGAGAAAGTGCTCAGCAGGCACAGTGGAGAAAGAAGAGGTGTCTTTATTTCACCATTTATTAAACATCTCCTGCTTTCAAGGCACTTTCTGCAGCGAATCCTTACAATGCCCCATGCTGGCAGTTCTGTTATACTTTTGCTGCAGATGTGGAAACCACTCAGAGGAGAAAGGACTTGACCAGGTTCACACTGTCCCCTGAGGGTTCTAGATCAGGGGTTGGCAAACTGACTGGCAGCCAAACTCCGGTCCACAGCCTGTTTTTGTAAATAAAGTTTTATTGGCACAGAGTTGCACTGATTCATTTACATATTGTCTCTGGCTGGTTTTGTGTTACAATGGTGAAGATGAATCGTTTTGACAGAGATCAGATGACCTACACAATCTAAAATATTTACTACCTGGCCCTTGACAGAAAGCTTGCTATACATGCTTTGCCCAATTAAATAAATAATCCTAGACAAGTAGTTTTCAACCTCTTTTTCTTTTTTTGAGATGGAGTTTCTCTCTTTGGCCCAGGCTGGAGTGCAGTGGTGTGATCTTGGCTCACTACAACCTCGACCTTCTGGTTTCAAGCAATGATCCTGCCTCAGCCTCCCAAGTAGCTGGGATTACAGGTGCCTACCACTACACCTGACTGGTTTTTGTATTTTTAGTAAAGATGGGGTTTCACCATATTGGCCAGGCTGGTCTCGAACTTCTGACCTTGTAATCCAACCCCCTTGGCCTCCCAAAGTGCTGGGATTACAGGTGTGAATCACTGTGCCCAGCCAACCACTAGTACTTTTAATATACTGTGGTCATTGTTTTGTTACTGTTTTGCTTTTCTTCAGTACTTTGTGTCTCTAAGCATTTTATCCATTTGTTATGACTGCAACTTATTGCATTTATTTAGCATCTACTGTGTGCCACACCCTATACTCAGCCCTTTCCACATATTACCTCTTGGAATCCTTTCGATCAGGGGCAGCAAACATCTTTTTTAAAGGGCCAGATGGTGAATATTTTCGGTTTTGCCAGCCAGATGGTCTCTGTGTTTTTACAATTCTTGGAAAGTATAAAATCCATTCCTAACACAAAGGCTGTACAAAAACAGGTCGTAGGCTGCATTTGGCCCAGGGGCTGTAGTTTGCCAACTGCCCTAGAGGTTCCAGATGCACCAGTGTGGCAGCAGAACTGTATTCACAGAAACCTTAGCTCACCCAGAGCCTGGCACACAGTTAAGCAAATGATGAACCACACCTCTCTAGGGAAGGGAGGATTAGTCCCATTTTACAGATGCAGAAAGAGAGGACCAGAGAGACTGGGTGACCGGGTCATGGCCAAATGTTGGGTGGGTGGCAGGGCTGGGAGTCACCTCTTTTCCTATATCACCCTCCCCTCTGCCCACCTTGTCCCTGAGCCTACCTGGGTGTGGATGTGGCACGCAGGGGCCGCCCAGGTCCACGCGGCCACTTGCCATCTGCTGCAGCCGAGGCACGTCCACTGCCGTGAGCCACGACAGCGACTGCAGGTCCCCGGGGAGGTCATCATCGCCAGTGGTGGCCAGAAGCCTGCAGAGAGTAGCAGAGAGCTCGGGCGGGAGGGGGAGCTTAGGCTAGCTCTTGTGGGGGCATCCTGACCCCTGGATGTACCTCATCTCCCCAAGCCACAGCAGCCCTCCAACCTGCCTGTATCCAGGACTGGGCATGGGAACCTGGTACCAGGATCCCTTTTGGTGGCCAGATCTTGCATCCTCATCATTCCTTCCTTCACCCATTTAATGTATCCTACATAGCACCAACCACAGAAATCATACACATGAATGTTTGCTGAGGACTTACTATATGCCAGGCACTGGTCAAGCCTTTTAACACTCCCAGTCACCCTATGAGGCAGGTGTTGTTATTATTCCTACTTTACAGATGGGGAAACTGAGGCATAGTTGGAGCTTACCTACTATGGGACACTACAGCACAGAGCAGTCAGGGCCTGTGTCAGGGTCCCAGCTGCCCTGACGGGATCAGTCACCTGACTCCACGTCCAGGGCAGTTTCCTGCCATGCCGTAGCTGTGAGGATGATGGAACTTGGGGACGGTCTGTGAGGATGATCCCGCCATGTGCTGAGGCAGCTGAGTGCCTGCTACCTGCCAGGGCCTGGATTCAGCATCAACAAGCGCTGTCCTGCACAATACCCACAGCAGTTGCGAGTTGGAGGGTGGGCCCATATTCCCCTTGCACAGATGAGAAAACTGAGGCTTGGAGCACTGAGTCACTTGCCCAAGGCGACCCTGAACAGGAGGTGGTGGGGCTGAGACCCAGTCAGTGCCTCCTGATGCCTGAGCCCTTCACTTTGACCCCCTGGTGGCCCGGGGAGGCTCCAGTGGGGACTCACGCCCACCAGCCGCCATAAATTCACGGGCAAAACATTGCTTGTCTTGGATGTAAAATAGCTGCCCATTGAGGGTACCAGCCAGGTGGGTGATGTGGCGTAGCCATGGCACTCCTCAGTGCCCCAAAGTCACGCTTGCCACGTGACTCCAAGAGCACCAGGTCTGACACCATCAGGGCCCCTCCGTGACATGGGTGCAGAGCAGCCCAGGAGTCTGTACCACACCCACCACTTCTGCCACCCCTGCAGCCAGGGGCTTTCTGTGTCGTCACCAAGAGCCCCACGTCTAAATTCTAAGCTCCATGTTTCAAAAACAGCCTCACGGATTGAGGGGCAGGGAGAGGCGGGACACCGACACATCCTGCCCTAGTTTTCTGCGCCAGGCCTGGACCTTTCCCTCCCTCCGTCTGCTTGGCCAGCTCGGCCTCACGTTCGCCCTCTCCCTCCTCCTCCTCCTCTGTCTCTCCCTGCTGCTCTTCCCCATCTCTCCCCTCTTGTGTTTTAGGGCCACAATTAGCGTTGCCATGGCCACACTGCTCAGCTGTCGCAGGGCCCGGGCCCTGGGCCCATGAAGCTGGCATCAGGTGACTGCCTGGCTGCCCCCGCGATTGGCTGCCTTGTAGGGAAACAGGGCCTAGAGACAATTTGAAAACGCGGCCGGCCGTGTCAGTGGCAGCAGTTGGCCCGGCTGCTGTCCCCCGGCATCCTATTGTGTGACAAACGACTGTTGCCCCCGTGGCACGTGGCCCACATTGTCCCAGGGTCTCGGTGCAATTGTTTCTGCGGCCCCGCGGCTGCCACCCCTCCAGCCTGCTCGTAACTCATCTAGCCGAGTGACAGCCACGGCCCGGGCCTGGGCAATACCATCTGTCCCCTCAGGGCCTGGGAGACCACGGGGTGAGGTGCAGGTGCAGAGCCTGGTGTACCACCCGCTGTTGGGGGTGCTGGCCAGCCCCCACCCTCCCTTCCTCACCCAGTGGCCAGCCAACCTCCTAGCGCCTGGTGGTGCAAGCCATGCTCCTGTTGAGTAACCTGCTGTGGCTCCCCACTGCCCTGGCTGCTCTCCTTGGCTCTGAGGTAACAAGGAGAAGTGGAGACGGTCTTTGCTGGCAGGTTTAGCAAGGTGGCTGCCCTCCAAAGTTCCCTGAATAGTGCGGGGGGAGAGGCTGCAATAAACCAGGTTCCTAGGTGCCACTGTGGGGCAGAATCTCTGGCAGCAGGTAAACAGGCAGTACCGTGGTGGTTAAATGCTTGGGCTCTGGCTTCTAATCCTGGTTTCCACTTGCCTATGTGCCCATGGACCACTGGCTTAACCTCTCTGAGCCTCAGCTTCTTATCTGTATAATGGGGAGGACAATAGCTCTTATCTCATAGGCTGTCATAAGAAATAGGTAATTGCATGTAAAGCCCTTGGAACAGGGGCTCACAGTAAATGTAATATGAATATTTAGCTGCTATTAATATTCTTACCAACATCAAAGTTCATAGTAATATTCACCAGGTCGCCAGGGGGCTGGAAGTACATTGAAGCTTTGAGGTCTGGGGTCACATGGACACGCCCCAGCCACTGCTACCCCTAAGCACTTCCATGTAATGAGCACGCCCTGGGTGCCAGACTCTGGGTTATACAGCAGCCCCATCTGACACATGAAGAAACTCAGGACGACTGTGGTCACTTCCATGCTGGGAGCCTGTCTCCCCATGGAGCAAGGACATGAAGTCATGCATAAAGCCTTAGCACATGGCAGAGCCTCTAGTTGGGCTGAGTCAATGGCGCATTCCTGATTCTTCTCTTTCCTGCTCCTTTGAGCCCCCTGGCTCCGCTTCCTGCAGCCCCACTTCTATAGCCCTCAGCAGGCCCAGGCAGGGCTCACCTCCACGCCTTTGCATTTGTGTTTCCCTTGCAGAAATGCCCTTTCTGCTTCCTCCCCTGCACCCATGCCTACCCCTCACTGCAAAGTCTGACTTCTGGCCTCTTCACCCCAGACATCCCGCAGACATCAGCATACCTCACCTCTTATTTTACCTCTGGGAAGCAGAGATTAGTTTGCTCCCAATCTCAGTCTGGAAAAGGACCAGGGCTGGGGTCCTGGCTCCCCATGCAGGCTTCTGCTACCCCGAGAGCAGCACTTCCTCTGGGAAGCCTTTGCCCCCCAGACCCCAAGCACAGGGACCCTCTGCACCCTGACTGCCGTCTATGATTCACCGGGACCAGCGAGCCCTGCACTGTCTAGGTCTCTGCCCCATCACCCCACCTTCTGGCTCACTGAGTGTTGGCCCAGGGCCCCTTATGGTCCCATGTCGCTGCACACAGTGGGTGCCCCCACCTCCTTTTCTTGTGAGACAGTCTTGCTTTATTACCCAGGCTGGAGTGCAATGGCACAATCTCGGCTCACTGCAACCTCTGCCTCCCTGGTTCAAGCGATTCTCCTGCCTCAGCCTTCTGAGTAGCTGGGGTTACAGGCACGCCTCACCATGCCCAGCTAATTTTTATATTTTTAGTAGAGATGGGGTTTCACCATGCTGGTCAGGCTAGTGTCGAACTCTTGACAGACCTTGTGATCCACCTGCCTCAGCCTCCCAAAGTGAGTGCCCTTTAAATGTCTGCTTGGCTGGTTGAAACAGGCCGACCGCCAGCTACCAGTGCCAAGAGTTGGTGTGAGTGACAGTCACATCCAGCCCTTTTGAACTCATAGAGCTGTCCTCTGCCTCCTCAGGACCTCGACACAGCCCCAGGACAAGGACAGAGAGTAGACAGTCCCACTTCACGGATGGGGAAGCTGGGGCCAGTCCAGTAAAAGCAAAATCCCTTTGCTTGTAAGCGAGGCAGTTAGGACTCGAACCCGGGTCTGTCTGTCTCCCTCCCATTGTTCATGTGGCACTATAGGTGGAGATCAGACGTCTTCTGGGGGAGATGCCCCTGGGTCCTGGGCTCTCAGTTGGGACTGTGTAAGCCGGCGTCTCCCAGAGTGCCAGTTCAAATGCAGAGCTGGAGCCCCAGCTCAGACCCTGAAGCCCCACCCTTGGGACTTCCAGCTATGCTCTGGGGAAGGACAGACCATAGGGGGCACAGGCAAAGCTCAGGCTTTGACTGGACAGATCTGGGTTCAAGTCGTTGTGGCCCCTGAGTTGCGCTGCATCACCTTGGACAAGTCACTGCGGGTCCCTGGGGCTCCACTCCCTGGCTGGCGTAGAATCAGGTGAGCCACTGCGTTATTGACTTTTGGCACAGATGAAGCCTCATCTCCCTTTTTGGTGGTTTGCTGTACAAGCTTGGGGTTGATGGCCAGGCCCCTGCTTCCCCACTACCCCAGGCATCCCAGAGGTGGTCTGTCCTCTCTTGTGCCCACTGCCCATGCCAGAATGTCTGCCTCAGTGCGGTTGGCCCCGGCCAGAACCCTGGATGCCTGCAGTGGATGTGGGCACCAGAAGCACTGTGGTGGGAGTCCACTAGCCCCGAAGGCTGGCTAGCTTCCCGCTGTCTCTTAGGGTGTCTGGCATTCAGGCATGTCTTCCTGTGCATGGGAAGGGCCAGGGCAGATGCACCAGGGTCTACATAAGAATGTCTCACCCACCAGCCCCCTGCCACCCTGACCTCTGTCCTCTGCAGAAAGGTCAGCATGCCCCCTCTAGACCCAACTCTGGCCAGGTGTGGTGGTTCATACCTATAATCCCAGCACTTTGGGAGGCCAAGGCAGGCAGATCACCTAAAGTCAGGAGTTTGAGACCAGCCTGGCCAACATGCTGAAACCCCCTCTACTAAAAATACAAAAATTAGCTGGGCATGGTGGCACACCCCTATAATCCCAGCTATTCGGGAGGCTGAGGCAGGGAATTGCTTGAACCCGGGAGGCGGAGATTGCAGTGAGCCGAAATCATGCCATTACACTCCAGCCTGGGTGACATAGAGAGACTCCATCTCAAAAAGAACAAAAAGGCCCAGCTCCTTCCACCTGCTTCTTCTGCTCTCCCTCCATCTCTGACTCCCCTTCTCCTCTTCTGTGTCTCTCTGTCATTGTAACCCAGGGGCCCCGGGAGGAAGTCCCGGCCCTGCCCTTCTGGTTTGGTGGCATCTGATGTGCTTCCTAACCTTCCTGAGCCTCAGTGTCCTCATCTGTGGAATGGAGGTGACAACAATGAAGGCAGAGCACCCGTAAGAGCTCTGATAAGTGCCCAGCCTCT